CCCCAAAACCCCAAAACCCCAAAACCCCAAAACCCCGACAGCTACTAAATTCAAATTCAAGAGTTTAATGACTTAAATAATAATTGTAAAATATTTAAAGATGAGGAGATTTGTTCTTTTCTTAATTGGCTTCATCATTCGTATGATTTTCATAGGTGTTGCAGAGTACATGGATAGATATAGTCCAAACATGAAGTATACTGATACAGACTATCATGTGTTTTCAGATGCAGCTACTGCAGTATATAAAGGAGGCTCCCCATTTGAAAGACACACTTATAGATATACTCCTCTCGTAGCCTACATATGTCTTGTTAACAATTACATTCACCCAATTTGTGCCAAAATAATCTGGTGCATTTGCGACCTTCTCTTAGGCAATTACATGTTGAAGACTTTGGACATTATTAATGATAAAAATAAGAATCAAAACTTTTGGCTTGTAGCATTTTTCGTGCTAAATCCACAAACAATAGCATTAAGCACAAGAGGATCAAATGATAACACGATTTCCCTTTTCGTTTACATTACCTTCTACTATTTGCTTAAAAAGAGATATGTAATGGCTGGGTTATTCTATGGGTTGAGTGTCCATTTCAAAATATATCCCATCATTTACTCAATAGTCTTCTATTTCTACATAGATTGCGATGTTGAGCTCTTGAAATAAGGCAAAAGATGGGAAGCTATTAAGAAGAACTTCTTTACAAAAAATAGACTGATATTCACATTCGTGTCTGCTTTTACTTTCATAAGCTTGGTTTACTACTTCTACTTGCTCTATGGCTATGAATTCTTATACGAGGCTTATCTTTATCATTTCGTTAGGAAGGATAACAGACATAACTTCTCGGTTTACTTCTATATGATTTACCAAATGTATGATGAACCCTCCAGTTCTCTACTTGCAATTCTATCTTTCATTCCTTAATGGGTACTGATTATTTATGCAGGTTTACACTTCTACTTCGATATATTCCTAGCTACATTCATCTAGACTTATGTATTTGTGATCTTTAATAAAGTAGTCACAGCTTAGTACTTCCTCTGGTACACTACATTGGCCATTTTGGTATTACCAAGTAATGATTTATTGAAAAAGCCTATCAGATTGGTATTTTTACTTTTGATATTCTACTTAGCGCAAGCGCCAGTAGGTATTTATAGCTTCAAGCTTGAATTCCTTGCTGAGAATGTATTCTCTGAGATTTAATGTTCTAACTACTTATGGTTTGCAGTGAGCACATTTATCCTTTGCTAGTTCATCAGTAATCACAGACTTAGTATAACAAAGCAGCTATCAGATGAAGATCAAGCAAAGATTAAGATTAAGGAAGAATGAATTGAACTTGATGTAATTAATTTAGATAGCGTGTTTAATAATTAGTAGATAAACTAAAATTTAAATAATATCAATAATTTTAAATTAATATCTATAGATTCATTAAGAGTTAAGCAACACACACTTTGATTTCAAAATTTAGCTCTGAATTTACATTTCATCAGCAATGTGAATACTGTAGTAACTGTCAATAAGTAGCAGTATGTGTAAAGAAGACTACCCCAGAAATCCTGCACAATTGTGAATACTGTTAAGTTGATTAGTCCTGTCATTAGATTTGACTATATTGTTTTAAATGAATAGTAACTTACACCACAGAAAAATAGTAGCTAATTGTAGTTTATGCATTGTATTAATAAATTTGGCTCGTTGTGAATTAATATTCGATCAATCACAAAAGAAATAAGAACAAGAGTTTAGAGCATGAAAATTTGCCATAGAATGTAGCTCATATTGCATAGCCTGCGAGAAACAGGATCAAATGCAATTTCTGATAAGTATTGGGCAATCCACAGTACTATTGAATAACTATAAGGTTATATCCCGAAATAATTACATAATAAATTTCTTAATAAGCTTCATTTCTTTTTCATGTGATGTCAGTGGAATAAAAAGTTTCTTATTCCCAGATATTCTTGATTGGGGTTATATTAGAATCTAAAATATATGTCTTCCAAAAGCCATTCCTAGAAGTGAGCTAGCCAGATAGCCAAAAGAACTAAAAATTCCTTCTCTATTAGCAGATACAATATCAATCCTTGGACCATACAGAATGAATTCTTTTAATCCAAAGGAAACCAATGTAAATTCATACAGAAGCATTAATAAAATTGCTATGAACATTGAATGCTTCACATCTCTAATAAAAAGCAAACTAAAATTGACTAGGGATATTGTTCCGAAAAAATTCCAGTGTGTTCCCCATTCAGTAACATGTTCCTAAATTTATAATCAATCAATATTCATCTTACCTGATAGTTTATATCTTTCATAATAAAGAATCTTAGAAAACCAATTATAGTAACAATGAATGAACTTTTGACGGTCATTAATAGATCACTTATAAATCCTATTTTTTTACCGCCAATACTTTCTCTTACCTTTCTTGCACTCAATCCAGTTGCAAACATTACTGCTCCTACACCTACATCCATCTAATAATATAACGAATGTAATTACTAATGATATCCCAAATTCTTCAGTTTTAACCAGCCTCCTAGGATAAATGGAGGGAAAGTCTACTTGTAGAATAGACAATGTGGTAGATATTATAATTAAACTGCGATAAGTAGTTACGAAGGTAATGTGTATAATGTTTCTTTCATCGAGTTTTTAAATTATTTCATCTTGACGTTTCTCCTAGTTATTTTAACTCTATGCAGAATTGTCAAGATTGTTATCATTTCAATCATTCTTTGATTCTAGCATCAAATCAGAGAGCTTGCGGTTTTCAAATTTAGTATAAGCAAGTCTGGGATTAGGATACTTAAAAATATTGATCATTATCTTGCCTTTGCTGTCAACCTCTGATATTCCAATTAACACTCCTATTACTAGGAAGGAAATCCCATAAATACTTAGTATGTAGTCTGGCAATGCATTTGTTAGTATGATTGGAAAGGCAACAAATGAATAGTCTATCAAGATATTGAGTAGCAGATATAAATTATCATTTTTAGCGTTGTATCTAATTTAGGCAAAAAAATGCCATCGCTATCATAGGAAAGTTACGACTACTTGGTGAATTAGATTAGCAATCTATTTAAAGTAAGCTAACTTAAATGACAAATTAATTTTACTTACAGGTAAATAAGCGCATATTAAGAATACTTCTATCTTGTTTGATCCATTAAAGCCTGTTACTAGATCTTCCTTCAAAGATTTATATAGTTAAGGGTCATCTATCAGGGTTTAAATATCAATTTTCTCCAAGTTTTCAATATTTAAGGAGGACATTATTATTGCTACAATTTTTGATTTAATTTTTAAGTATTTGAATATACTGAATTATCTTATTATACTCACAGCTAGGGGTTTTGGGGTTTTGGGGTTTTGGGG